TATATATATATATATATATATATATATATATATATATATATATATATACACACACACACACACACACACACATACATACATATATGTATTTTTTCATAATACAAGTTGTCTTTAAATTAAAAATGAAAAATATTATGAATTTATTGGTTAATGAAAATGTTTGGACCAGAGGCTTATGGGAATCTAACTGTATTATTTCCCCTATCAACAATGGTTCCGTATTCACTAATTCAGTGTTGCAAATTCATAGGACATAACTACTATGAATAACAAGAATTCACTGCAAATACAGAGAAGTGTGCATGTGGGTATTTCATGTCTCATGCTTTTTTTCCCTCACAAAATCTTATGCTACTTAAGAGTAGAAATGACAATATTTTGGTAYAAAGAATGCTTTTAATAAGTGTTGGCAAGGCTACCCTTAATGGTCCAACTCTCCTGAGGATGAGGCCCCTTTTTTTTTTTTTTCTCTCATCAAAAGAATAAAACTCTAAAAACACTTATTTCAGAGTGACCACAGGGGTATATCTGTTGCTCAGTTTGAGTTATTATTATAGGTGTTCCATCTCTGGGTTGATGAGACAAAATGGATTAAACTCTGGTATGAGTCTTTCGATGGTGAGTGAAGGATGAACTGTGGCTGAAGGTCTTTCCACACTCACTGCATTCAAAGGGTTTCTCTCCAGTGTGAGTTCTCATGTGCTGAGTTAAGGAAAAGTTGTCACAAAAAGCCTTCTCACATTCTTTGCACTCAAAGGGTTTTTCTCCAGTGTGGATCCTAGTATGCCGAACAAAATTTGCAGGTTGGGTAAAGGCCTTTCCACATTCTCTGCAAACATAGGGCTTCTCTCCAGTGTGAATCCTCATGTGTCGAATGAAGGAAGAGCTATAGTAAAAGCCTTTTGCACATTCTTTACACTCCAGTGGTTTTATTCCACTGTGGGTCCTATTATGTCGGATAAAAACAGAGTGGTGTGTAAAGGCCTTTCCACATTCACTGCACTGATAGGGCTTCTCACCAGTGTGAATCCTCATGTGCTGAATCAAGGAAGAGCTATCACAAAAGGCCTTCCCACATTCTTTGCACTCAAAGGGCTTCTCTCCAGTGTGGATCTTCTTATGCCTGATAAAAGTGGACCGATGAGTAAAGGCCTTTCCGCATTCATTGCACTCATAGGGCTTCTCACCAGTGTGAATTCTCATATGTTGCGTGAAGGATGAGTTGAGACAAAAAGCTTTTCCACATTCTTTGCACAAAAAAGGTTTTTCTCCTGTGTGGGTCATATTATGCTGGATAAAAGTGGAGCGGTGAGTAAAGGCCTTTCCACATTCACGACACTCATGCAGCTTCTTTCCAGTGTGAATCTTCATGTGGTGGGCAAATGAAGAGCTGTAGTAAAAAGCTTTTCCACATTCTTTGCACAAAAAGGGCTTTTCTCTAGTATGGGTCATATTGTGCTGCATAAAAGAAGAGCGGTGAGTGAAAGCTTTACCACATTCTTTGCATTCATAGGGCTTATCTCCAGTGTGAATACGCTGGTGCTCCGTGAGGTGAGACCTGCGTTTGAAGGCCTTCCCACACTCCTTACACTTGTATGGTTTTTCCCCAGTATGAAACCGCATATGTCGAATAAAGTCGGACATATAACGACAGGCTTTCCCACATTCACTGCATTCATAAGGCTTTACTCCAGTATGAATCTGCTGATGTCGAACAAGGGCCCAATTTTTGCAAAACCCTTTTCCACATTCTTTGCATTTATAGGGGCTGCTCCTTGAATTAATCCCAGTGTCTTTTCCTGATCCTTGGGAGTCATGTTCATGGACAGCATCTTGTGGAGTGACTCGCTCCTGTAAAACTCTTAAACACAGATTATCATCTGTCTCGAAATCATCATTTTTATGGCACCACTTTCCAGGGCATGTCTCCTTGTAGGGGTCTGTTCCTGGTCTCCAGTTCCTTTCCTGCATTTCTGATGGCTTTTCCTCATCTCTGGTTTGCCCCAATCTGGAATCCTTTGAGGACCTCTGTGCCAGTTGTTCCTGAAAAGAGGATTTCTCACAGAAGGTCAGTTGAGAAGCAGTAGGTGCTGTGATGGTGGGTTTTGCTTTTTCACCTGAAGGAAATCCAACATTAAAAGGTGTTTTAGWGATGTACACAGAACAAAGAAAATCATCACTTTAGTAAAAGAATGAAGATGAAAATCGAGTCTCTGATGCCTGCCGCATTTGTTCACTTTTTTTTTTTTGTACACCTCTTAAAACTAAGCTTGCAATTTCTTTCTTTTCTAATCCTTGGGCTCTTGATATATTTCAAGGGAAACACATAAGGAAAAGTTGGTGGAGGGGACAGAGAACATGGAGTGGAGACTGCCTCACTCTCTGGAATGAGGGAGGGTGGGCAGAGGAATGATTACACTATGTGATTAATGTGCTCCAAGAGAAGAAGCCCCATGGCACTGTAACAACACAGGGAGCAACAGGTGGGAGAAAGACATCGGTGGAGGCTATGCAGCTGGAAAAGGCGCTATGGGAGCTTATTTCTAAAGAAGAGTAAGAGTTACCTGACAAGGATTTAGGAGAGAATACATATATATTCACATAATATACTGCAGTATATTATTATAATTGTTATGTTTTATTATAATACTGTAACTATTTTAGAAGGCAACAGAGTATCATCTAGTAAAGCTCTTCTTTTGCTAACCTTATAATCCCCAAACTCCAGTTTGATGAACATTACTAAGAGAGACTCCTATACATGTATATGAATTTTCATGGCAATACTGTTTGTGAGAACAAAAAACTATAATGTAAATGCCCCTAAAATGGATGAATACACTGTTATATTCATGCAAATGAGTAGAACAGAAAAAAGTGAACAACTGCTATACACATCATGAATTAGTAATATCCTGTTGAACAGTATGAATATCAGAAGATAAGATAAATTGTGATACTTAAAAGTTTGATATATATATATATATATATATAAAAAAAAACACAAAAAGTACAACAAAACTACCTTAATTTTTTTTTTTGAGAATGTTGGTCAGTTTTTAGTGGTATTATAAAAATGGTATCTATACATCTTAAGTTTTTTATTGCAGTAGAACATATATAACATGGAATTCACTATTTTAATTAAGATGAAACAAAAAGTAATAGGTAAACAAATCAGATAATATAGACAAATCCTTTAAGTGAGTCAAATTACCAAAGCTAATACAAAAAATAACAGAATACATGGATAGCCTGTATTTATCCCAAACAATTATTTTCCTATGGAACAAGCACAGGAATAATAAATCCACAATAAAGTAGCCATATAAGCAAGGGAAGCSGTGTAGAAATGGGAAAGGAAGAAGCATATCAACAGATGTGGGAAGAAGATAACTTTGTACTTGGGTGAAGGGTTCATAGTTGTTCATTATAATCTTTTTAAAAGGCAATGAATAAATAAATACCTTAACAAAATAAAATACAATAGAAAACTAAGATATGAACTGACCAATGATGGTAGTGTGTTATATATCACAGTTAGTGAGTTGTCTAAATCTGCACACCTTAAGACAGTTATAAAAGTCAGAGGGGCCTACAGAGTACTGCAGCTAACTTCACGAACTCTGAAGACAAACACCCCAGTCTGAAATACCTGCAATACCCCAAACTAGCTCTGTCACCTTTAGTGACCCACTTGAATTCCTAAAGGTTCAATGAAAGGACTATTGTGAGGATGATGTGAAACAGCACATACACAGTCCATAGTAAGGCACAGGCACTGGGTCAGCATCCCCGTCATGGCTGTGTTATGGGCCAACTGCACTAGGATTAAAGTTGATGGTAAACATGAATGAGTATACCTAGAGAAAGTGTACAGAATAGAAAGAAAGGGCCATGAATCCAGTGTTGAAGAATGGATGAGAATCAGAAAACAATAGTAAAGGTCAAGTCAGAAGAAGGAAAGAAGAAACAAGAACAGAATGCTATAAAGCTACAGCATGATAATGTGAGGAAAGTTTCTGGGGTAACTGAGAAGCAGCAGAGTATCATTAGGCATGTAGAGTATAAAGCCAGAACACTTTGTTCAAATTCAGCCTCTACCAAAGCTAGGTGTTCCTGGCAAATTAGCTTTTTGTTAAGAACTGAATATTTATATTCTTCCAAAATTCCTATGTTGAAACCCTAGTTCCCAGTGTGATTGCATTTGGAGATAAGGCATTTGTGAAGGTAACTAAGGTTATATAAGGTCATAAGGATAGGGCCCTGACCTATTAGGATTAGTGTTCCTATAAAAAGAGATACTAGAGAGATGGGGAGGCCATCCTCGCTTGTGATTTGAGTTACCTCCCTGGCTGGGTGAGCGGTGCTTAGACATGGCTGTGTCTGAGCTTTCCCCACCCTTCTCCAGGTCCGAGGGCTTGTCCGTGCAGAGGCGTGTCTGGCCACTGCCCCAAAGACCTAATTGTTGCCCCTGACCTTGGGATGCTGCCCCCCTTAACCTTCATTGGATGGGATTTTCCCTGGAATTTTTTGTTCCACAATAAAAGTCCACTCCCTGGCGTGTTTTCTCTCTCTCTCTCTCTCTCTCTCTCTCTCTCTCTCTCTCTCTAAACCTTGCTACTGCATTAGGTGGCTGGAGGCGGGAGCTAGGAGAAGCAGTCCCAGAGCTGGTATTTAAAGGCAATTAGAGTCTTGTCTCTTTAATTTAGAACTCCCTAGTGTTTACTCATGAATCAAACCTTCTTTCATGAAGCCAGCGCTGGTCGCCTGGCACAGAGATATTTTTTTTTCTCTCTCTCTCTGCRTGCATGCACCAGGGACCCTATGAAAACACAGCAAGAAGGCAGCCATCTGCATAACCTAACCATGCTGGAACCCTGACTTTGAACTTATAGCCTCCAGAGAAAAAATAAATTTCTATTGCATAAGATACCTGTTGTATAGTATTTTGTTTCAGCAGTTGAAGTAGTAATACTTTTAAAAACTCAATCTCCTCATCTGAAAAACTGGGAGATTCTCAGTTCCTGCCTTACAAGTTGTTATGAGTATTACATGAGATAAAACATCCATTTGCATGTGAAGAGTAAATGTCCAGTAAATTGCAGACCACTATATATTATTATTATTATTGTTATTATTATATTTGGCAACAGTGATCTGAGTAAGAACACTTCTAATCTATGGTGCTGAGAAACACCACTCAGAGTAAAAAGGAGGACGCCAGTTGCTCAGGAGTATGTGGAGCAATGATGACTCATATGGGGCAGGTAGAAATGTAAAATGGTACAGTTACTCTAAAACTGATGGTTTCAATTAAACTAATCATATGTCTACAAATAAATATAAAGGGTAGATCTTGTGCAGATGTCTCTTCTAAGAATGAGAAAACTCCAAAAAGCTTGGTTATTCAGATGAGATAGAATCAATAATATTTAGATACTGTTGGAAAGCCAAGAAATTTTTAATTTTTGTTTCTCCCAAATGTCAAGAACTTCATCTTTTTTTTTTTTTTTTAAGGTTGAGTAGAGAGGATAGAAAAGTAGGAAATAAGAGAAGTGTGTTCCTGCTGCAGCACTCAAGATTCGTGTATGGCTTCCCACAATCCTCACCTCATGATGTTCACACCTGTTATACCCTTTTATGATCCCTTCCATTTGAATATTGGCAGGATTTTGCTTCTAAAGAATAGACTATGAAAAGGTGAAAGAATGTATGTGATAAAATATATCTGATTTTACAAAATTGCAACTTCAGCCCTGCTGCAGTCTCTCACACAGTTGCTTGATTTGAAGAACTGAGCTGATGTGATGTCAGCTGCTTACAACTGTGGCCTTACAGAGGACCCAGCTAAGTGTGCCTGGATGAGATAAAATGAGGGATTCTCAGGCTGCGATGTCTGTGTTATATACACAGCAACAGATAACTCACACATTTGAGAAGGCAGGAGAGGTGTAATCTGGACTCTGCTGGGGGAATGAGCCACGCTGGGATTGAGAATGCCTCCACAAGGTGAGAAGGAAGCTGCAGGGTCGACTCAGTAAGGATGAAGGAGCAAGAAAGACAAGCATGTAGGCTTTGTTTTCAACATGAAGTAGGTCATATGCTGAGACATCAATGGCAAAGCAGGTGGTGACATTTGGAATAGTGTGTGAGTAAATGGGGAAGTGAATATAACACACTGAGCTGCGGCATGCAGCAGATGTAGGAAAACCAGTTCTGGATCTGTTAGCATCATGCAGGTTAAGTGGTAAAAGCTTAGCCCAGAGTGCTATCACTGGAGCTGTTGGGACGGGTGACGGTGATAGATTTGGAGCTACGTATGTTATAAAATGGTCAAGATTCCGAATGCTGAATATTGGGTTTGGTAGAGATGGAGATATTGGTGGGTTTTCTAGGTTTGTTTTTGAACTTATCCACTGATTAAAAGGGCCACTAGTTGAAAATGAGAAGGGAGAAGTGGGCAAGATCATGAGGTTATTTTTAGGCATGATGAGTGTAGGGTGCCTCTGAGACATTCAAGTGAAGATAGGGAATTAGGGAGAGGGTTGAAGCTGGCTGAGCAGCCTGAAAGAACACTAGAGGGGAGAGGCCACGAATCTGCAGTGTCAGCAATACACACACCCGATAGTTCTAGATGCTCTTAGACTGGCAAGGGAAAACATGTCACCTTGAGGATTTAACAGGACAGCAGGGCAAGAGGACAACAGGATTAGGGGATGCTTCTGAGCATCTGATTCACAAATGGAAGGCGAGTCACATGCATGGATGGATAGGTGAAGAAATGACTGTCTGGAGAAGGGAAASAGGATGGGATACAGAGTACAGCTGGAGTTATATGCAGAAAAAGAAAGGCCCATCTTATGAATGTGGAAGGAAGTTTAGATGTCACTATTCACTATGACTAATAAAGCATAAATATTAATACCACAGGGAATTTGTTGAGCTATTCTGGGTCAGGCTATGTTGTCATGAGCCATCYGTGGGCTGTGTGTGGGCTATATTGCGTATAGTAGCCTAAAATACCCTATACTATTTTTCCCTTGTATTTTTGTACTGAGGTATAATTTCTATATAGGGGATAGGTCTGGCATTTTGGGAACTCGCCTTCCATTTGTGAATCAGATGCTCAGAAGCATCCCCTAATCCTGTTGTCCTCTTGCCCTGCTGTCCTGTTAAATCCTCAAGGTGACATGTTTTCCCTTGCCAGTCTAAGAGCATCTAGAACTATGGCACCCTCACAGGGATTAATTGCCTGATGCAGGTGAACTTCCCCCTCAAGCTCGGTCTGAGATGGGTGTGAACTGCTAGTTCTAGAACCCATGTGGACTAGATCTATCAGGGGCTTTGCCTTTTGTAAATATATTTCTGAATATTTGTGTTTTGTTATTCAATAATTATTTGAGATTTTAAGKTTTTTAGGGTGGCTTAGATTCTCCTGGGAAGGAAGAAGAACCCCTCAGTGAGATGCTGGGCATTGACCCCAATACTGTGTGCTAAATAATTTCCTGTTATCCAATTACATTCTCAAACAACCCAAGGATGAAGAAACTATTGTTACTACCTTTCCCAAAGTTTAGCAGGCCAAATATACCCCTGAGATCTTTTCCTTGGGCACAAAACTAAACTACATTTCCCAGCTTGGTCAAACATGTAGCCTAATACCCAGTTCTCATCAATGAGATGTAAATGAAGTGACATGCATGTGTGAGTAAATATGACAGCTGCCCTTCTCACCTATTTCTATGGGCCAGGGAAAACTGAAACACACATGTTGACAACAGAATACAATTGGATCCCTAAATAAATATGTGGTACAGAGCCTCTGTTGACCCACATGGAAGAATGGCATGAATGAGAAAAAAAAATCTGTTGAGCCACCAATATTTTGGAGTTCATCTTTGAGAGCAGGTAGCATTAACTCAGGAACAGTGAGRTTGTGCAGCTCCCACAGGATCAAGAGGCTGGGAGTGCCAAATAATTTACAGCCCAGAGTTTATCTCCTATCTAAGTGTGTGTGATGTGGGAAGGTAGGGGGACCACAGTTCCAAGTGCTCCATACAAACTTGACCCCAGTAAGTCCACAAAAAAAGCTGCCCATAAATTTCAGACACAGTGATCCTTTGGTAGTCTGCAGGCTGCCATGACACCCAGTGCCAGATTCTTAATCACCTACCTGCACAGGTGCTTTGGGAGAGGTGTCTCTTCTCTGTCCATAGTCCCTGCTCATGATCCAATATCGACTCTGGTTTCGGAACAGGATGCCCTGGCATAAGAAATAAATAGAACAGAGGTATACAGGTAAAGACGAGGAAAAGTCTCAAGTTTATKGGAGTACATATCTTTAACATGCTGCTAGACCACAACAGAAAGGTGACCCAACTCTCACATCTGAAGGTAATCTCTAACAAATCCAAGTCAGTAGATTCTACTTCTCTGTGCCTGAGAACTACTTAGCAATACTTGGTTCCAAAAATGGAATGAAGTGAATGAAATCTTTGGGCATCAGGACAGAGCACTGCTAGTTTTTAAAGTTTCCCAGGCTATTCTTGTGCCCAGGGATGATTAGAAATACTGGACCAAATCAATAGATGAACAGATCTACTAACAGTCAATTGTCTGAGGCAGGAAGGTGACCTAAGCCAGCTACCCATTCTGAAAAAAAAAAAAAAAGCTTTTAATTCATGTTTGGAGGAGAGAAGTCCATGTGGCAGCCTCCTGCTCTAGTTGCTTTGGTATCATCCTGGGGCCCCTACAAAGGTGCTGGCCTGATGATCTAGACCAGGAGGGAAAACAGATGAACAGAGCTGGGTTGGTCTCTATCAACCTGGGAACCAGTACTACCTTGGGTTTCTTATTTGATGAGGTAATTTTTCTTTTCTTCGGGATGAAAACAGCATGAGATGGTCTTCCATTATACTCAGTCACACAAACTTGGCCAAATGTGAAGGCTAAAATAAAACTCTGAAGAGAAGTCAAAGACTGAGGAAAAAGGACACAAATATCAACTGGAAAATCTTGGACAGCAGGCCAGAATGCATCCAGTTGTCACTTAGCCAATGTTTGCTGATGTCTGCCATGGCACTGAGGTAGGTGATGGGGCAGTGGTAAAGGTGAATCAACCCTTTATGTCTGTTGAGGATTCGAGCTCCCTGTCCCCTCAGGGACTCTGCTAGAATGCTGTTCTCCACACATCTTCTTTCAATCACAGCTGTCATAAAATCTACAAGAATGTTATTTTGTCCTCCTTACTTAACAGGATAACATCCTCGAGGATGGCAAGACTGGTAGAAGCCTAGCAGAGGTAACCATTGGAACATCTGGGAAAATGGAGACCTCGGGTCTTATTCAATTCCTACTCAGACCAATTTCTGGATAAAGTGGCCATTGTCAAAGGTTTAGATGGGAGAACACTTGGGATTTATTCATTTGTTACACAAACAAATACATGTGCAAAACTTGCTTTGTTCCCATTTTTCTTCTAAGCACATTATAAATATTAGCTCACTTGCTTTTAGAAACTGGCAAAAAAGGTACCATAAAAATGATAAAATTAAAATGATATTAAGTCCCAACAAGCTCATGCTGCCTGCTCAAGGTTGGGAGTGTGGGGCTACTTCTTATTGCTTTTAGGCAATAGCTATGGGAATGTAAGAAAGGACAGCTTTCTCAGATGCCCATMAATGTCATTTGATAACCTGTCCATACATCAGCTAAAAGTCATCTCCCAGACAAGCAGAGAAGCAAAGCACATGCCTAAATAAGGCTCAACTGTGCAAGTACTAGGGATCAAAGAAACCTTTTCTTTTTGGACTGGGGACTGAAACCAGGTGGTACTTTACTGCTGTGCTAAATCACCAGTCCTTTTTTATTTTGAAACAGAGTTTTGCTAAGTTGCAGAGGCTGGGCTTGAACTTGTGATTCTCATGCCTCATTCTCCTGAGTTGCTAGGAGTACAAGTGTATATCATTGTGCCTGGTCCCAAAGAAGCCTTTCAGATGAGACTGCTGCTTAGAAAGATACTAGTAGCACTGAAGACAAATGCCTTCTTATTGCTTGTCTGAATAAGACGAGAACCTCCCATTCTCGGTCAATCCTGCTAACCAGACTGAAGGCATTTGCTTCACCTATGCTGGGCCAATTACCTTCCTTCATGTGGGATTATGGAGAAAGGATGTCAAGACTGCTTTTGGCTTGYATTAAACACTGAAAGTGCTGAGAAGGACTGTGTAGCCTACACAACAATCCCTGACAGAGATGCAGAGAAACCAAGCAAGAGGAAATCAGACCACAAAACACTGAGGCAGCAGGAAAGAGGGAAGTGGGTTCCTGAGGCCTTCTCTTCCAGTCATGYCTAGAGAGAGAGAGAGAATGGACTGAAAGAGAGTTCAGGCTCTACATGAAGACAATGAAGCCTTACCTAGTGAGACCAGGAGCCCACAGATCTCCAGCATCACCTCCTGGTAGAGGGTCCTCTGGGCCAGGTTTAGATGCCTCCATTCCTCTCCAGTGAAGGTCACAACCACATCTTCAAATGATACCAATGCCTGGAAAGCCAAACAGAGTGGTGGTCGGGGAACTGTGTGGCTAACAGATGAGATTAGAGCCTATTGCTTGGTTACTGTCCCAAGGCCTGAACCACTGAGCATATCCGGAGAACCTAGCTTGGTACTGGGCCTAGGATGAGGAAGACGTGGCTTTGACAAAATACAAAGGTATGGGGGAGAAAAGCTTCCTATATAGGAAGCCACAAGACAATGATAGTCCCATGTGGACTGTGAGGAGCAGATAATAAGTGCTCTGGGACATTAGAAGAGTGAGGAAAAACAATAATTCAAACAATGTTTACAGTAGCAGCATCTGAGCCTGTTTGCCTGCCCCTGAAGACTGTGCATGCTGGTTAAAGCAACTAAAAGTCTCCAGTCTCCTGGGGTTTCAGTCCAGCCTCTTGAACCAATAATTGCCAGATGTTTGACCTTGGGGGAAATCTCTTAATTACTTTGAGTTTCTATTTCCACATGAATACATCAATAGTTCCTACTTCACTAGACTGTTGTGGGTATTAAAGAGAAAATGTTCATAAAGCAAACATGGCAGAGTCTGCCACATGTCACAGGGATAGATTTGTGAGTTTGCAAATTTTATGATCATCCCATAGCCCATAAGAKAAATGCAATCATCATCTCCATGTCACAATCAGCAAATTGAGGTTGAGTCAAGTCACTCAGAGCTGTACATGTAATGAGGCAGAACTTGAACCCATATTCCTCTGATTCGAGGTCTAAGGGTATAATTCTCTATTACCACAGTGAATCCACAGTAACAAGGGCAAGAAACATTTCCAATATCGACATTAAAAAGCATTTCAGCCACTCCTGAAAATATTCCCATAGATATAGAAGAGCAGAGCCCTTGTCATGTGCCTCACAGAAGAGTTACCTGAGCAGGTGCCAACTGCCTGGAGTTGGCAGTGCTCCAACAAGCTCTCTCTGCCCTCAAGCTATAGTTGGGACTTGCAGATTCCCTGAAAGATTCCGTAAGGAATCACCAGTCTATTATTTGTCATTCTGAGCCACTGTCAGCACATTTCCCTAAGGTATTGCTACATAAGCACCATGTAACACAAGTGACAAAGGATACTGCAGGATTATGGAACATGGGCAGCAACCTTTAGTAAGAGGTCTATCTTGGTTGAAGATGAAATGATTGATGTGGATCCAGGGTTACACAATCTCACCTTCCTGAGACACACTTCAGTAGCTTATGAGAGCCCCTGGTAATCCCCCAGGTCCTTTCATGCCTTCTTGAACAAAGCCTGCTTCTGTCCTTGGCAGCTCCCTTTGCCTTGAAGTTTCCCAAAGTCCCCTTTGTTTCCATGGCCACCTGCCAGAGATAGGCCTGTACCTTCCTCTTGCAAAGATTACTTTAGGTATCGACCCTAGAACCCACAACCCATTGTGGGTGGAATATTGTTAAGAATTTTTCCACTTGCTTCTTAGCACCCTGGGAAAGCTCAATGTAGCACACCTCCAAGAGGCAGTCTTGCAGAGATTTGGTGACAATGTGACAGAGAAAAGTGGGCAATCAGTTTGGCATATTTAGGCCAGCATGGCCCAAGGGTAAGGCGGAGAAAATAATGAAATAGTAGCTTGGTGGAAACTATCAGCCATGGTAAAAACGTTTAGATTAACCACATGGAGGGTTAATCTAAGGATGATGGAAGCTCCAGAAGGCAGAGACTTTCACTCATCAACCACTTACTGAGTAAGTGGTACAGGTCCTGCCTGTTCTAATAGCTCACAGTCCAGAGTTGGGGATGGTTTCTCGATAATAAATGAGCAAGGTAAAATCAGATGATTCTAAGGGCTTTGAAAACAAAAAGAGAGTGAGATGACCATAAAGATTAGGGGAGATGTTAGATGAGGCAGCCAGGGAAGACATCTCTGAAGGGACCCTGAACAAGGCTGGAATGAAGTGAGAAAGCAGGTCAGGCGAGCAAAAATAAATAAGACAGGTTCTGAAGGTAATCAGGGTAATAATGAGAGTAACCAGGGTGGCATGCTGGAGAGTAACTTGGGGCCTGTTTTGTGTTCACATTCCAAGAGACAAAACACTGCTGGTACACTGTCATGAAATGAATACTGCAATGGATTTGCTTTGCCTATTCAAATGTGTTTAACAGGAAAACGGATTCACTGAGGTCAAGTGGTAAGCAAAATTCACTTGTAATAAACAGATGACATCTGCAAAGATGAATCCAGTGATCTTGTCTCCTAACCTCTTGGGGTACTTTCTACTCCTGTCAAAGAGCAGCAATTCCAAAAATGCTGCTCCCAACTCACCTCTGTCCTTGAGATTCTCATCTGGTCTCCCATCTCTCAGGTGGATAGAAGCCTTAGACAGGAAGGCCAGAGGGCTCCTAAGATAAAACAGCAGGATCTGAGAAGTTCCTCCCCAGAAATGACAGTTATGCTTACGTACTGAGCACTAAAGGGCACAAGTCACTTTCCTCAGTTCCCTCAAAAATAATTATTAATATTCCCGTTTCAGACCCGGGAAGAGAGGACAAGGGTAGCCAGGCAACAAGCGCCAAGGTAGAGCCATAAATGGGTAATTCCTACAAACCCCRACCTAGATTGAAATCCTGGGTTGGAAGTGCTCAGTGCCCCTGTCCCTTCCTGCCCTCCTTCCCCGGAATCCCCAGATCCAGGAGGAACCCTCCACTCACCAACGCTGGCGCAGCCATGGGACCCAGTGGGCAGAGCGAGGTCGTGAGCGGAGGCTACAAAAGCTGGTCCGGTGGCCTCAGGTGATCCCTCACTTCAGACCGAGGCAGCCTAGGACCTCAGTCTCTGCCACGTAAAATGAGCACAAAGCTCTGGGCGCCGCCTCCGGGTGCTGTGGAGACCGGTGAAGCCAAGGTCCCGAAAAGCGCTCAGCGGGGAACCCTGCTSAGGGGCGGGCAGGAGCGGGTAGCGGTTCGCACAAAGGTGGAATTTGGTCCTATTCTCCACACCGTCCTTCTCCGTTTGGTGTTGAAAGGCCTGGGAAGCCGCTTCCGCCCAGCATGGGTAGGGACAGATCAGCCACAGCCCAGGGACTTCCCAGGATAGGATTCCAGAAGCACCGCCCCCGCGGCCCTGGGAAACGCCCCCTTCGTGTTCCGTCTTTGACTCGGCGCCTGCTTGCCCTCGACGCCCGAAGCACTGCCTTCTGGGTAATGTAGTTTCTGACCTGAACYGAGTGGAACTTGGAGCACACTTCCTGTACTCTATGAAACTGCTACTTAAGATTCCAAAGAGAGGGCGTTGAAGGTATGATTTTCCAGTCTTTAACAGGTGACCCATCCCTTGACTTTCCTGCCCCGCACCAACACTTAATGTCTTTGAGTCTTGAAATTGGAGATTTATAAGAAAAATGAAGATAATTCTTTTACATAATAATATTAAATGTTTAGATCATGTCAGTATTACCTGGGCATCTGTTACAAATACAAGTTCTCAGATCCTACCTGAGATTCATTACATCAGACACTGTGTCCTCTAGGAGTTTTGATGCTCCAACAAGTATTTATTTATAAAATTCACCGAACGTAATGATTCATGCCTGTAATCCCAGCTGCTGGGGAGTTGGAAGCAGGAGGATCTCAACTTCCAGGATGGCCTAGGAAATTTAGTGAGACCCTTTCTCAATACAAAAGAAAAGGGGTGAGGGGAGGAGCTGGGGATGTTCCTCAGTGGTAAAGTGCTCCTGGAATCAACACCCAGTACCACAAAAACGAAAACAAAACATGTATATAAGAATTAAAAATGTTTAGTCCCCTAATAACATAATTTTTGAAAATCAGTAAGAGTATAGAAAACCTAGAGAATACGATTGACAAGTTCAGAATCCCACAATCAACAATAGCAGCAAACACATTTGTTTCAAGTGAACATGGAACATTTACAAGTATAATCTATATACTAAGGCTACAAGGAAAATCTGAATAAATTTAAAAAATTTTAAGCCACAAGGTTTGTCTTCTAATCATAATGGAATTCAATAAAAATTAAAAATATATGGAATCTTGAAAGTTTCCAAATATGTGAAATCTAAATAATATAAATAATCCATGGGTCAAAGAAATATTAAAATGCAAATTAGAATATAATTTTCCAACATCTATTCATAATAAAAAATTCTAGATCAACTAAAAATAGAAAGTTATTCTTCCAACCTTATAAGGAATAACTACAGAAAAAAATCTGTAGGTGACATCAATTTTAATGGCAAAAGAATAAATGCTTTCCTCCTAAGATTGAGAAAACAGAAAGGATATTTTATCACACTACTCTTATTCTTATTATAACTGGAATTCTGGCCATGGCAACAAAGCATGGCAGGAAATAAAATACAAATGAAAAAGATTTTTAAAAGAAATAAAACTGTCTACATTTGCAGAACATGGTGATCTATGTGAAAACCCACGTTATCTGCAATAATACTATTAAACAAAGTAAGTGAACATAAGATCAACACCCAAAACTAAGATGCATTTCAATGTACTAGCAACAGACATGGAGATACTGAAAGTAAAAGCACACTGTCATTTATAATCACTCAAGATATGGAACACTATTGTGCAAAATGTGTATTGAATATGTGAAAAATGACAAGACACAAAGATATCAAAGACCTAATAAAATGGACAGGTATACTGTTCATGGATTTTTATGCATCAACACAATAACAACATTGATTATTCCCAAACATTTTGTTTTGGCTTTAACAAAATGCCAGTCAAAATCACTGAAATAGTTTTTATAGATATAAGCACACTTTAAAAAAATATATCTGGGCGGGGCTGGGGTTATGGCTCAGAAGTAGAGCGCTTGCCTTGCATGTGCAAGGCTCTGGGTTCCTTCCTCAGTACCACATAAAAATAATAAATAATAAAGTTAAAATAATAGAATATATATATATATATATATATATATATATATATATATATATATATGGGGTCTGGGGTTGTGGCTCACTTGCCTAGCATGTGTGAGGCACTGGGTTCGATCCTCAGCACCACAGTAAAAAAAATAAACAAAATAAAGGTATTGTGTCCATTTACAACTAAAAAGGAAATTTAAATATATATATATATATATATATATATATATATATATATATATGGAAAGGTAAAGGATCTAGAGTAGCTAAACAATTTGAGAAAGAAGAATAAAAGAGGAGGAATCACTCAGCCTGATGTTAAGCTCACTATGTTGCTACAGTAAACAAGATACAATAATGCGGTGTATCAAAGGAACAGAATAAAGAACTGTGAAGTAGACCCCAAAATAAAATCAACTGATTTTTAATAAATGAACAAAACAACTAAATGAAGGTAGGACAGTTTTTTTTCCCCAATAAATAATGTTGGAGTAACTGGGCAAAAAAAGCTCCACCTAAACCTCATAATTTTTTATATTTATTTTTAATTATAGTTGTACACAATATTTACTTATTTATTTTTATCTGGTGCTGAGGATGGAACCCAGGGTCTTGAATGTGTGAGGCCATAAACCCAGCCCCTTAAATCTCATATTTTATAAAAATGAGATTTAAGGGGCTGGGTTTATGGCTCAGCGGTAGAGCGCTCACCTCACACATGAGAGACCCTGGGTTCCATCCTCAGCACCACATAAAAATAAATAAGTAAATACTGTGTACAAGTATAATTAAAAAATAAATATAAAGTGAAGCACAGACTGAAATACAAAATGTATAACTATAAAGGTTTATGAAAAAGTACAAGAGAAAATGATCAGGACCAAGTGTAGGTAAAAATTTCTTGAACAAGATACAAAAGCATAAAAGGGGAAAATTCAGAAATACTAGACCTTACCAATTAAAAAAGATTGCTCTTGGATATACAAAAAAGGAATATCATTTGGCCTTAAAAAGAGTGGTGTCTTGCCATATGCAACAACAGGGATGAACCCAGAGGGCACTAAAACAAATGCAATAAGCCAGGCATAGAAAGACAAAACTGCATGGTTTCACCTACATGGGTTACCTAAAATATTCAAACTCAGAAGCAGAGGGTAGAAAGGTGGCCCCAGGGACTGGGGAAGGAGTAAATGGGGAGCTGCTGTCCAACAGATATAGTTATGGTTTGAATGGATATTGCTAATTTGGGGATGTTCAGAGGTGAGATGATTAGAATCTGAGAGCTATGACGTAATTAATGGATTAATCCATTTGGTAGAGTAATAATTTGAATGGATTATTAGATGGTAAGCATAGGCAAGTGGGGCATAGCTAGAGAAAGTAGAGCACCAGGAGTGTCCCTGGATGCCCCCACTTCCTCCCCCCACCCACCTCTCTCTCTCTCCTGCCACACCCTTCCACAATGATGTTCAGCCACACCTCCAGCCCCGAGCAATAGGGTTAGCCAACTCTGGACTGAGACTTCTGAAACCATGAGACAAAATAAACTTTTCCCTTCTGGATTGTTTTTGTCTGGAATCTTGGTCACAATAACAAAAAGCTGATTAAAAGGTATAAAGTTTCAGTTATGGAGTGGGGACTGGGGTTGTGGCTCAGAGGTAGAGCATAGCGTGTGTGAGGCACTGGGTTCAGTCCTCAACACCACATAAAATAAAAAAATAAAGATATGTGTCCACCTATAACTAAAAAATAAATATTAAAATTATAAAGTTTCAGTTATGCAAGATGGATAAGTTCTAGATCTGCTTATGACATAATATTTAAAAATTTTTTTGAAAGAGTGAATTTTAAGTCAGGTATTCTTATTACAAGAGTGGGACAGACAGAGTAGGATTCTTGGAGGTGGCAGGGGGCAGGGGTGCTCATTATCTTAATTGTGATACTGGTTTCACAGGTGTGTGTGTGTGTTTGTGTGTGTGTTTGTGTGTGTGTGTGTGTGTGTGTGTGTGTATGAGCAGAAAAAATAGAGAATAGTAATGAAATCAAAATCCTTAGGATCAGTAAAATGGATAATTATCTAGCTAAGTTTTACCAAGAAATATACAAATTGCTAATGCTGGGAATGAGAGAGAAGGGGTCACTATAGAGCTGACAGACATCCTAAATCAGGAGGCGGAAGTGAGGGGGGAAGCAGTGACTTTGCTAACTCTCTGGCTGATTGACTGATGTTTGGAATGGCTGTAACTACTTAATAAAGTGCTAAAGAATTTTGATATTCTGAAAAAACAAAAGAAGAAAAAGTGATGGGAAAAACATGACCCAGGAGCAGATCAGGTAAGCTGAGCCAGTTAAGGATTCGAAAAATTTGAATAATTTTGGTGAATCTTGGGCTATAAGTGTGGTTCCTAGAGGTTCTGTACCTGGCCTGGAGTGGTTTAGGGCAGAGGGATAGTGTCCCGGACTGTAGAAGGTAGGCGGGAGTATGGACTCAGATTCATAGGTTTACATATCAGTAACTTGCTTACTGCCAAGTTGTTTACTACAAATGAGTTATCCAGCTCTGGGAAAGGGGGGCTCTCCAGGAGACTGAAGCCAGGCCCCAAGATGTCAAAGCATCATAAAATATACCTTCCAGATACAGACAAAAGTGAACTTGATCGTCTTCCTTAACCCCCAACACCAGGCCCCCAAACTAATGCTTCCTCCCACAGGCATATCACTCCAGATCCCACCTGTGAACCCCATTGCCATTGCAAACCAACATCTACATGGGTTGGCTGCAAGTCTCTCTGCACACACCATTCAGAGTTGTCAGTAAAAGCAATGAGGATCTCACCCTGCCCTAGATGCATACCAGTTTCCTAGAGCTGCTGTAAGAAAGTACCATAAACTGGGTGGCTTGAAACAGCAGACTTTTTTTCTTACAGTTCTGGAGTCTAGAAGACTTAAGTCAAGGTGTTGGCAGGACTGTGCTTTCTCTGGTGGCTCTGGGGAGAATTTTTCCTTCCCTCTTCTAACTTCTGACACTTGGTGCCAACATCTTTAGTGTCTCTTGGTTTGAAGAGGCGTCACTCCAATCATGTGGCTGTCTTCTGTGTCTTTTTTATCATTTAAAAATTCTTTTTAGATATTCATGACAGTAGAGTGTATTGTG